GAGTACTGATTCAGATACTATAGTTAAAAGATTTGTGGTCCTGCTGGCTGATACTGTGCAAACATGAAGAAGCAAAATCAGCAACTCTGAACCACATGGCCTACAGAAGACTTACTAAAGCAAAAACAAAATTCACTCACTTTTCATTCATCTCCAGGCACCAAGTCTCTAACTCCATCGAGTCCCCCTGAGGGAAGACAAAGCAAAGACAAACTAATGAACACAGTTATATTAAAGCGGCTGCATATTTAGTTAATGATGTGGTCTGGCTGGTGTTTCAAATGTGTAAAACAATGATAAATCCCAAAGCCCAGTTTTTACAAAACAAGAAAACAAGATGCAGGTTTTTTGTTTGTTTGTTTGTTTGTTTGTTTTTTTACCTCTGATGTCTTCAGAGAGATCTCAACACACATGGAGCGCCCGATGCCTGGAAGCTGGCCAGCCAGTGCCTTTTTGGCTTCATGGGTAACCTCTGGGATGTCTTTGATGGCCAAATTAAACTAGAAGGAATATTAACCTGAATATCCATAATCCATGCCATGAAAAGATCCACAGTTAACTTGAAAGCCAAACAATCATGACAGAGAATGACTACGTTGTTTTACCCAGTCAGATCCAGTAGGCGATGATGACGAGCGAGTGCAGATCTTCTCTCCCAGCCTGGCTTGGACTATCACCTGGACAGTCTACAGATACACAAACAGGCTGCTCAAACAATGAGCTGGTTTTACAGAAACAATCCATAGAAAATTGCTGACAAGCCTGTCCAAAATATAACAGGCACTGTTATGAAAGAGACGTATGCTGGAAAAGATTATTTTAATTCCAGTGCTTTGAGCCACACTAATAAAAACCTGGCTTTCCATTGTTTATTTATTTATTCACTTCTGAAGCCTCAAATGTCCATTTAGAAACCTACAAGTACAGATGTATAGAAAAAGTTCTGTTAGTGTCTCACCTTAAGTGCAAAGAACTTAATAAACTTGTCTAAGTCCTTTTGATCCTGGGGCTTCAGGTCACTCTCCATATTGTTACAACCCTGCAAGATAGATGATCAATAGAAACGTATTGAGGCAACAAGGGAAATTATTGTGTTATAGCACAATAAAAATAATACAGCCTACAACAAATAAGGAGGATAGTTACAGTAAAAGTGTAAAAGCACAGTGAGGGCACTAAACTGTGGGAGTGCAAAACCTTTACATGTGAAACAATGATAAAAACAAATAAAGTAAAAGATAAGACTGAAATTGCACAAGTAGTGCAAATTACATTAACAAATAAAATAATTAATAAGTAATATGTGCACTATAAATCTAAAAAACAGCTGCAAGAAGGTAAAATACAAAAATACACCTTCTTACAGCTTTTAAAAACAGATTTATGGTGTATACATTCAACCAAACAAGAGTGAGAAACAAAACGTAAACTATTCATGTACATACATGTGTATGCGCAATTACATGTGTTTAAGTAAAAGTGACTGAAAAACCTAAACACTGGGGAAAAGCTGAATTCAACCCCCATTATCTCCCCATTGTCCACGTGTTGGGGGGTTTTCACGCCACAAACCCCCATTTCAGGACTACAGTTCCTAAGAAAATATCTCAATTACTTTAACAAAATAAGCACTTTTCACCACACTGGCAACAGTTTAGCGTTTTTAACTGAAAAACGTGGACAATATAGTAATAAATAAAAGGTATTAACAGGAAAACTTTATCACCGTGGTCTTAGCCCTCCAAACAACACT